GACCAAGCCTAACAGTAATTAACAATGATGCAATATCCACGTGAAAAAGAGAACTTAAAGAATTAACTGTTAAGTTTTCTTGAGGATGCAGCTGCTAACAGCTTAACCTATCATAGCTAGAGTGCCATTGTGTTGCTTTAGAGAGAGAAAAAATCTTGGAAAGATTAAAAAATAGTTAATGTAAAGGGAAGTAGGATACAATAATTTTACCTGGTCAAAATCTGAGCCTGATGACACCAAATCAGGTTGTATTTATTTACAAAATAAAAATCACACCGGATGACAAAGTAACCATTATTTTTATCCTCATTTTCACCCTTCACCGTCTAGAAAAGAATGAGTGTTTTTTTCAACCTGCTCAACTGATTTAGTGCACCACAGTTGTAATTTAAGTCTTACTTGGTATCCAGCCTATGACCTCCTAAGCTAAAAAGGTATTCATGTGAACTACTACATGTGATTCTATAGAAGGTTAATATTTTCTGTTTCAAATATTTTTTTTACTAAGCTGTAGTGTTTTCACTCACATTGTGTTGGTCTAATCCACTAACAGACAAACTATTGTAGAAAAAAAAAAAAGGATTGAAGCAACTGTTTTATAACATATGAAACCTGATACTGTTTTCTGTTGCCAGTACAATTCCCCAGTGAGATGGATAAATTGTGGTCAAGACCTGGACAGGTTAACTAGTGGTCATCAATGCTGGTGGTACCTTTATATACAAAAAATGGAAACTATTGGACATGGCATGTGAAATCTAATACCAGCCATGAAACAAGACAGCTGTTGGACTCTCGTTTTTTTATCTCTTTGAAGGGGCTTTAATTGAAAGCTTGGTGAAAAATGCAGGTTACATTCTTAGTGTTATCAATAATTTGTAACAGCAACAACATCAGAACAGTGATGCATCTAATATTTATACACTTTCTAATTTTAGTTGTCTAAGAGCAATACATTATCAGATATATATATATATATACACACACACACAATTTCAAGCAATTAATAGGAAATAATAAACCCCTCCTCCCAAAACCCTGAAATAATATTTCCTCACACTAATGTCTCTTTTCACATATACTTGACGAAGAGTCTTTTTAAGTTACTTATCTTAAGAGTAATCTGTTAATGGAGATCCTGGACCAGCCCCATTTAAGTTCAGTTTTAAGTTTATACAACTTGCTAACCACATAACCAGTGTGGTTTACATTGTAAACAAATCCCAAATGTCTACAATGACTAGAATCCGTTTGGGGTAAGAAGATGATCTGTGCATCTCATGATGGAATATATTTAAACTAGTACAAAAAAGTGATTTAAACAGAGAAAATACAGTTTTGGGGGTCACTGCTATAATGTTAAAAGCAAGTTAACTTAATTGTAAGATTCTCATTTTCTGCACAAAGTAGTACTGCTTCATCTAACTTTAGCTGCTCTAGAAACTGTGGGGTTTTTTTTAAAGTTGATTTTTGAAATTCAAATCAGACCTTACATTTTAAAAAATTGCCCTTAGGCAGTAGAAGTACAAAGCTTACCAGAAATGTCTCAGGTGTTTTTTTTGGAGTGTGTGGTTGTATTAGAATTTGGAAACCTAACCATATGCACATATGCAGTAAGCATAGAGCTTACCTTAGCAGACATGCACACATGCCCTACACATGGTTTGATTGAATAAGGTGCAATGAATTTGCACCTGGAAAAGTTCAAGTAGAAATAAAAATTGAAAGCTTTTTAGAGAAAAAAACATCAAAAGTAACTATAGTTCATAGTAATATTTTAACTGTAACAGTCTTTGTAATTCCATAACAACGTTACAAAAAAAAACACAAAAAAACACTTAACATTGAATGGGAATTTTTTTTTAAGTCCAAATGGATGACAAAACTGAACAGAATCCTACGGTTTAGTTAACTTGTCTCAACTGGGTAGTGAAGACAGCCGTAGCTTTCCTAAAGAGGTGGTCAAGGATGATGGAAAAGTTTGCAGTAGTTCACAATGTCCCATCTGGTTTATTCATTTGTTTGAATTGTCTAAAGGGCCAACTGAAGTTTAGTCATGTTCCTCTGGTGCATGTTGTGATGACGGACTAATTCATCGGATCTGGCAAATTTTTTTTGACAGCTGGGCCATCTACAGCTGAATGGTTTTTCACCTGTTAACAAAAACACCCCATTGTTTAACTGGCACAGAGATGGATTGAAACATTTACCATTTATTTTGTTTCTTTATAACTCCTTTCAATAGGAAACTAACTATGGGCCCAGATCTATAAGGTACTGAATGCCCTCAACTCCCATTCACTTCAATGCTCAGTGCTTTGCAAGACCAGGCCCTAAATGAGGGCATTTCTCACTCAACCCATGTTTTAAAGATGTCCTTTTAAGATTAAGCTAAACATTTGCAACAGCACATTCCTGAAGGAAGCACATAGGCCTGGCACACCAGTGGTTATTCTTTAAAGCCTGATCCAATGCCCATGGAAGTCAGTCATTTCCAGTGACTTCAATAGGCTCTATCAAGCCATCTCAGTGAAGACCTAATGAGTTGGGTAAGAAGAGGTCTATGGACTTAGCCTCAGGCTTGGCGAGCTGGTTCAAAAAGTTCCTCCCTGCTCTCCAAGTCAAGCAGACCTCACATATCCCACTGAGAAGAAAGAATGGGAAATTATTGGAGGCCTAGATTGCTCCATATTTTCTTAGCACTCCCCTAAGTAAATCAATAATCAAAAAAACCAAACAGACCCCAAATAGAAAAATATCCTTTCTGCACTTTTAGCAATTCTTCAATTTACCACAGCATGCAAATGCAGTAGCAAGTCACATTTTTGATAGCGCAGGAGTGCTGGAGGAATGTCCTCAGCAGCTCAGAGCAGGGCGTAGGTCAGAACAGAATTGGAAATTTTATTCTTCTAGATTTGTATCATTAGTGGTATAAACTTGGATTTTCTATTTGTTTGTTTGTCTTTCTAAGTATGTACAGGGTCTGTTTCTGGAGCCTGAAGTCATCTGTGCTGGGCTGGCTAGAGGTTCAGCATTCTCTAATTCAATACATTCTGGGGTTGGCATGAGCTTTCCTAACTACCACTACCCCACCCACCTCCATGGCTCACTTTTTGTGCAGATCATTTCAAAACTTCCAGATTCACACTCAGGGAAAGTTTGGATTGTGGTGAAGTTTTGTTTGTGTGGGGGTTTTGTTTTGTTTTGTTTTTTTTTGCAAAAAAAAAAAATCAGTGAAACAGATACATCAAGAGGTTTTGAAGTCTAATTAGCTTAAAAATACTTTGACAACCTCTGATTATTACAGAAAGGTATCAAATGGTTTAGAACAGAGATGAACTTGTCAGAATGACTAATAAAATCATAAACTTATATAAGTGAGCGTCACTCCGTCAGTTCTCAGCAGCACTGGCCAAATCATCCTCATTGACGTGAATTAATCATTATGGGCTAGATTGTAGCTTCTTTTACGCAGGGTTTGTGGCAAAGCATGTAATTGTGCTGCCTCAGAAACAAATCTGCTTCTCCTCTTGCTTCAGTCCTATACTGGGTGCAGATTACTTTCCCTTCCATGCTGGATCAGCTGCACTATCCTGCACCCTGGGGAGACAGTCAAAGCTCTGCCCACTCCTGCCTGCCTGCTCAGGAGGAGGACTAGCAGTCATGTGGGGAAATACAGGAAGCAAGGTGGCGCTTCCTTACTCCCCTATGCAGGTATTACAGGCTGTCTTCCCTGCTTTTTAGGGTCAGATGGCTAACTCAATTTAGCTACCTCACCATAAAATCCCTGGGGAGACAAGGCACTGTAATTTCTGCCTTGATGTAGCTAGTCAAGGTCAACTCCAAGTGGGTGCTATAGTACTGACCTCAGCTAGCTACATGAAGGAATAAACTACCTGTGCACCTTAGCTTGGTTGATGTAGATCCCTGGGGAGACATCTTGAGTTATCTATCTTACTGGAAAAACACACCTTTTTTGGCAGTAAAGACACAGGTCCAGCTCACATTGTGGCTAGAAGATGGTAAGGCCCCAGGCTCTAGTCTTTGCTTGAGTCATGTGACTCTTAGTCTCTCACTCAGGCACAGAACAGAGCTTGTGGCTTTGTCTTCCCTGTGGGCGGGGGGGGGGGGGGAAATAATGGAGATATCCTATCTCCGAGAACGGAAAGGGACCCCGAAAGGTTATTGAGCCCAGCCCCCTGCCTTCACTAGCAGGACCAAGTACTGATTTTGCCCCAGATCCCTAAGTGGCCCCCTCAAGGATTGAACTCACAACCCTGGGTTTAGCAGGCCAATGCTCAAACCACTGAGTTATCCCTTCCCCCAAAAGGTGTTTTCTTAACTTAAGTTAGCTAACATGAGGTAAAATCCTAGTGAAAATAGGCAGTTTGTAGTTTTCACATGTTGACAGGTTGAGGTAAAACCTACGCTCTCCCATGGTTTAACTCAATCTACTAATTTGTGTGAAAACTACACACTGCCTTGTCTTCACTAGGTATTTCCCTCATTTTAAGTCATGTTAACTATGAATACACCGTTTTTCCTAGAGAAGATGCACCCAATTTCAGGCCAAATTCACACTGTAACAGCGGGCATACACCAGGGATTAAAACTGTGCCCTTTACCATTTGCAGACAATAAAACTGTAGATAATGAAAGACACAGCACATTGTCTTAAGCTTTCTTTTGGATGCAGCCTGGAAAGTGCCAGTATTCTACAGGCGAATAGTTCTGATTTTTGTAAAAAAAAAAATTTAAATCTTAAATATTAAAATTTTGTAGGAGGGAAGGGAAGAGAAAAAGTCCTTATCTTAGTTGGGAGAGTAGGACTTTCTACAAGTCCTTGTCTTGCAGTGTGGAGGCATGTTTCAAAGCTGGAGACCATTATGAATAGCACTAAGGTATCTAATAATATTGAACTCTAGAAAGGCAGTTTATTAGCAAGATATGCTGATTTTCATATAATAAGTTAGTAGATCAAATTGTTCAGCTAAGAATGGTGCAAAAATAATTCTAAAATTACTCCCAGAACATGAGGTTCCAGTTAAAATGCTATGGAAAGGATCTATTGTAATTTCATTGTTATGTTTCCTCACATGTTCCTTGGACATTTTGGCATGTTTTTACTTTAGATTTTGTGCGTGTGGCTGTTTAGCGTTGGCGAAAGCTGCTGTCTTTATCCTCAGGAGAGATTACAGTGATGCCAGCTTCCCCAAGATACCTTACATTAGGCTTCCACCCTGACCTAGAGGGGCCGTGAGTAGAAATGAGAGGATCCTTTAACTCCACAGCCCCTCTGCTGAGGCTGGCACTAAATGGCCTCTTTGTGGGCAGTTGTGGGGGTGATAGTTTATGCACAGTGGATGTTTGAGGGCTGAGATCACTAAAGCCATTTCACAAAAGCTGACAAAATACATTATGCCAAACTGATATGTCCTAAAAGCACCAAGTACCCAGGAGCAACATTTTCCAAAGCACCTACGTAACACAGGAGCCTAAGTCCTATTTTGAAAAGTGATTTAGGCATTTAGGAGCCAAGTCGCACTGAAAGTCAATGGGACTCGGGCTCCTAAGTCACTTGGGCATTTTTGAAAATGTTAGCCCAGGTTCGAAGACTCCCGCTAAACATTTAAATCACAGTAAAATTTATTTAGTTTAAATAAATAATGAAATATAAATGTGAAGAAAAGTTTACGCACTTGTTTTACCTGTATGAGTCCTGGTATGAGTCTTCAGATGATCAGATCTGGAGAACTTTCTCTGACAGGTTTTACACTGGAAGGGTTTCACACCTAAACAGATAAAACAAATCTATTCCTGTATTTCAACAACTTTTGGGAAGGATCAGGGAGATCAATTATTTCTGAATTATCAAAATACTGGAATTTTTTTAATAGTTCCTGTAACTACTCCTCCCCAGCTGCCCGCCTACGTGTCTCAAAGATCATTAATCAGGCTTCTGCACAACTTACCCTTTCATAACCCTATCTTTCTCCTGCAGACCAGTTAACACTTTCAGGTATAAAGCATCCCAGCTGCAGCCAGTGTAAGCAAGCACTACTCATAGGATTCAAAATATGAAAAGTCATGATCAAGAAAAGCTCTACAAAGTTATTAATTTGTTGGTTCCTGTGGTTTGGTACCTCTGGCATTCCACTTCAAGCTTTGTGTATTTGGATTCAATTTGGTAAAACCAGATTGAAAAAAAATTCCACCTGACAAGTTTTATTAAACTATATTGTACATGGGTTCTTAAGGATTTGTTTAATCCAGAAGACCTACCATGAGATTGTCAAAAGTGTATATATTAGGGGGGGAAATTAAGTGAAGCCATATAACAGTCTCAAAAACGTCCCTCCTCACCCCCAAAAGAGCCACCACTGAGCATTCTGATTAAAGGTTTGCAAGACCCAAAGAAAGTTTACATGAACTGCTAGTTTTCATGTTTAAACCGAAAGATTCCTATCGTTTCAGGTTTCATCATAGAAAGTTTCACACAGCTGAAGGCCATCATAATTCTCCTATTACTTCTTAAGGGCCAAACTGTCTTCCTTAGGATAAAAACTGAACAGACTTTGCATAAGGAACCTTGTAATATTCCGCAATCCAGAGTCAGGCCACAGAGCCAATTATAATTGCTACAACATTCTCCACCCTGTAGCCAAGGAGTGTTACATGCTTCCTGCGCAGAGTTTTTGGCCAGTGTAGCCACATGCTTAATGTCAATAGGATTTAAGCACATGTTCACAATTAAGCACATGCCTAAGTGCGGGATTGGGATCCAGATGCAGAGCAGTGCTCTGTAGATTGCAGTGGGTGTGGTGTACACTTCATCATCTGCTCCTCCTTTCTGCACAGCAAACACATGGTAGTGCCATTGCCTTTTGAGCCTCACACACGGGTGAGTGCAGGTTTTCCCCTTACATATTTAAATCATAAGCATCACTGCAGTATTAACTGAATTAATTGTTTTTAAATTATTACTTTTTTCAGATTACTAGTAGATGGTTTTATTTTGTTTAATCATTCCTTGTTCAAAAGAGAGAATATTTCCCACCCCATGCACGTCACTCCAGAGAGCAGAATGTTTCATTTCAAGAGTTTTGTTACAAGTTTGCAGAATCCAAAAGCTCAATTATTGAGGCATAAATTTGTGATTCTGAAATGCTAGTAAAAAATCATCATCCTGGAGTCCAACTAAGGATGAATCTTCCTGCTAAGAACGTTAGAGAGGAGAGAGCTACAGCCAACAAACCTGTGTGTCGTCTTTGGTGTCGTTTGAGTTGGTCTGAACGAGAGAACCTTCGCTCACAGTCCTTAAAGTCGCATTGGTACGGTTTCTCACCTTAAGAGGGCAAAGGTTTCATTAGAAAGGTATTGCTGAATTCGAAAACATGTCAGCTTCATGTTTAATGAGTCTCTTCATTTATAAAATGTGCTATACTAAAAGGCTAGGGCTTCTTCTCACATATTTTTAAAAGTTAATGGGCCAGATTCTCAGCTGATTCAAATTAATATAGCTTGAAGTCAATGGAGCTATGCAGATTTTCACCAGCTGAGGATCTAGCACAATTGATTTACCTTAGTTAAATTTGAACTTGAATCAGTTTGTTCTAAAAAGGGGTAAAAAATAGATTAAAATTACAAAAACTGAACCCAAGTTGCATGAACATTTATTCCAATATTTGACATTATTCTATTATTTGACAGTAAAAACAGCAATGTGTCTTTTCCCCCCAAAGACCATATTCCAACCCCTTCTACAATTTTCACAAGGAAGTAATTTACACAGGTGAAAGATTTATAAATTGCTGTAAACTGGATTTGAAGGGGGAAAAAAAATCAAACCCAAAACATTAAGACTGGTAAATTTTTATCTGGTGTAAGTGTGTAAAAATAATTGGCAACATTCAATCCTGGAATAAAGCACATTTCTCCCCCAAAATGCCTATTCCTTCACTTCCCTTAAGCACCATGAAAAGCAGTATTTCACATGCAAACACCTCCCTCACACAAGTCTATGAAATCTTTGAGAGCCTCATACAAAAATTATCTAAACTTTTCCTATGTGTTTTGTACATCTCTACTCAGAACCCTAGAACTCAGCCTGCCTGGGACCAAAGGTGATATGCTGACCTTAAAAATAAAATAAATAATAATAATGTCTCACATTCATACAGCACCTTTCATCATAAAGAGCTTGACAAATCATCTAAGCATATAAACATAATAAAAATGCAGCCATTTCAGGAGAGGAGAGTGGAAACAAATTGGAATACAGCACACTGTGGAATAGTGGGGTGACTTAAAATTTTGACCAGCACAGAAGGGCTAACAATCTTACTGACATGGGATTTGTAAAGCCTGATTCTCATTTACACTAAGACCTTTTTACACCACTCTGGCATGCTAGAAGGGCATAAAATACATACATTATATCTACACCCACTATAAGGCCCTTTTACAATGCCAGAATGGAGCCCTTTAATGTGTATGCAGAGCAGAAGGACTCTGGTTTTTAAATACTTCATATGAAAGTTCTACACACAGTAAACTGCATGGAACTTGTTTTTTTCTGCTTTGGAAGGGTGAGGTGTACAACCAGGGCCGGTGCTATCATTAAGGCAAACTAGGCGGTTGCCTAGGGCGCCAAGATTTGGGGGCACCAAAAAGCGGTGCCCCCAATTTTTTTTTACAGCGTTCCTAGGCTGGGCTGCCGACGGCGCGCTGACACGTGTGGCTCAGACTCCCTCTCCCAGTGCAGCAGCCACTCCACTTCTCCCGCCTCCCAGGCTTGCAGCGCCAATCAGCTGTTTGGCGCCACAAGCCTGGGAGGGGAGGAGAATTAGAGTGGGGGCGGCGTGCTCGGGGAGGAGGTGGAGCAGAGGTGAGCTGGGGTGGGGAACTGCTGCACGGCTCCCCTGGGGGGAGAGAGCTTCCGCAGGGGGGGGGTGCCTCAGAGCAGGGGGGGGAGCTGCCGCAGGGCTGGGGGGAGGGGCGCAAGGTGGAAGTTTCACCTCGGGCGTAAAACTTCCTTGCACCGTCCCTGTGTACAACAAAGACCCAAAATGAAGGCATTAAAGAAAAAAGGAGCTTGAAATGAAGTGGGGTGGATTTTTTAAAAATGTATGAAGTTCCCAAACACCTGAATTTCAAGATTCAGTGTTTGTGGTGTTAGTTTATAATAATAGCAGAGAAATAGGTTTCTGTTAGCCACATTTGAATCTAGAATGAGTGCTGTACATTCTGAGGTGCAGAGGAGGCATATGCTAAGATATTATGTTTATGTTGCATGTGATCTATGAAAGTGAATTGACCCCTTTACAGAGTATATTTGATTGCAATTACAGTGTTAGGACAGTTAGAAATGGTTCATGATTTAAGGGGACATAGCAATTTCTACTTGAAAATATTTATCTTTGTAGCTTCTCCTTATCCTTTTTAAAAATTACAGAGTTAACACATCTCTATCATTTTTATATTATGAAAATATGATTGGGCTTAAAACATAAATGTGACTCATTCTGGGATGAGTCACATTCTGATCTCAGCAAAACTTTTGCAAATGTTGTGTAACTGTGTTTATATTAACAACGAGGAGTCGGTAGCACCTTAAAGGCTAACAGATTTATTTGGGCATAAGCTTTCATGGGTAAAAATCCACTTCTTCAAATGCACGAAAGCTTATGCCCAAATAAATCTGTTTGTCTTTAAGGTGCCACCGGACTCCTCATTTTTGTGGATACAGACTAACATGGCTACCACTCTGATATTTGTTTATATTAATGAAGATTTACAGGGGTGTAGCAAAGATCAGAATTTTCACCATATTTAACATCTGTATAAAAATCTTTATAACTTCTTGTGGCAGGTACCCAAAGGAGTTTACTGACTCTTAAACCTAGGCATAACCTATTCCATCTCTGTTTAATTTATTTATGTAAATTATTACGTTTGCCACAAGTGTTTAAAATGGTTCCTTACACTTCGACCACAAGAACTTCCGCAGAAATGCCTACTTCTAGGACACCACTTACTTTCAAGAGATTCAGCCATTTGACAGATTTAAGAGACTGAATGTCAGTGAAACAGAATGCAGTGACAGGATGATTGTCTCCTAATTGCAATATAAACGCAGAAGATATTTAATTAGACATTTGAATAGAACATTGTAACAGGCTTGAAGGCATCCACTTTGAAAACAAAAGGACCTTTATTTTTGTTTTACAAAATGATCTACTCGCCTGAGAACTCTGATGCCTTTTTCAGACTACCTTATCAGCAACCTTCTTCTGCTGGAACCAGAGTTGCTCACTTGCATTCAGATTTGTTTGGACAGAATTGTTATGCAATTTAACCATTAGAAGCCAGTTTGTAGATTAAAGCCATTTAAAAAATAATTAATTAAAAATATTTTTGATTAGAATAAGGAAAACGTCAACCAAAGCACACATGGGGGTCAGCCAATCCAGCAAACTGGCACAAAACAGTATGTTGAAATTGAGTGTAAAAGGAAAGGGAGTGAGATTTGGAGAGGATCCAGAATTTCTCTCTCTTCCATTCTTCTTGGGCTTCAGCAGGGCCTAATTAAATGGCCACTGAAGTCAGCGGAGATACATATTGACTTCAATACGCATCAGAACAAGCATCTGATTAGGAAAAGTGCACTGGGTGTTCAACACTAAACACTCAGTGGATTCTCTAAACCAGCAGTTCTCAAAACTTTAGCAGCCCAAGGACCTCCATTTTGATTTAAAAATTGTCACGGACCCCCTAAGTCCCTCACTCAGCCTTAGGCCCTGCCCCCACTCCTCCCCTTCCTGGGGGGGCCCTACCTCTGCCCCACCTCTTCCCGCTCCCACTCCTCCCTGTCCTTCCCAGCACCTCCTGCACATCGCTGAACAGCTGTTCCCTGGTGTGCAGGAGGAGTTAAGGGAGGGAAGGGAAGGAGTTGATCAGCGTGGCCAGCAGACCCCCCGGAGTGCCCTCATGGACCCCCAGGCATCCACAGACCCCAGTTTGAGAAACACTGCTCTAAACTGCTTAGCAAAAAGCTTGTTTGTGATTTCTTCTTTCCCAGGGCTCATTGGGGGCATCCCGAGTTAGAGCTTAAGCTTCCAGGTTTGAGGGACACTCAAACAATATTTCCCATATGACAAAAACAAAACAGAAAGGAGTTGAAGATCAAACTGCACCTGCCCTTTGCCCTTTCCTTACTCAGTTTTTCGCTATTATTTCCATTTCAGTACTAACAAGAAAAACGTAAAGGCTGACCATAATGCAAGATAAAGTTTTAGACATGGGGGAATGGAAAGACAGTTCACTATTAAACCATTTCTTCTTTTAAAATTAAAAACTCAAATTGCACTTTAACTTTAGGTTGAAAGCACTGCAAACATAAAACAAATCTGAGCCGGCATGGTTCTGGTTTGCGCTTTTTTTTTTTCCCCCTCATTGGAGTCTTATATATATGTCAGTGTACTTATTCAAAATGGGCCAAATTACACCAGTGTAAATGGAAGGCAACTTCTTTGAAACCAATGCAGTTACTCCAGATTTAAGCGAGAGCAGAATTTGGACCTACTTTCCTATAAGTGCACAATATTGACCATAATACTTTCATTCAAGTATACTTTTGGTGGAGGAGTTCTGGAATGGGGAGGTGGGCTAGTGCTAAGACTAAAACATTAATTGAGTAGCTGAAGTTTTGCCTTCCGCTCAGAGACAGCAAGTTTTACAGAGAAAGAATCTGAGGCAGGTCTATACCCAGTTTTGTGCCAATCTAATTAAATGGGTTTTTATACCGATTCCGTTAAATTGGTGCAACCCCCTTGTGTGGATGCAGTTCAATATCAATGCAAAACATTATAACATGTTTCAGTAAACTTTTTCTTACATATTTTTCTTTTGCAGGTAAGCTTTAAATTTTAAGAAATTAATGGAGCTATCCCATCTCCTAGAACTGGAAGGGACCTTGAAAGGTCATCAAGTCCAGCCCCCTGCCTTCACTAGCAGGACCAAGTACTGATTTTGCCCCAGATCCCCAAGTGGCCCCCTCAAGGATTGAGCTCACAACCCTGGGTTTAGCAGGCCAATGCTCAAACCACTGAGCTATCCCTCCCTCCAAAAGGTCATTAAGTCCAGCCCCCTGCCTTCACTAGCAGGACCAAGTACCAATTTTTTTTGCCCCAGATCCCTAAGTGGCCCCCTTAAAGATAAAGTTTATGCGTTTTTTTTGCACAAGAAACCAGATTGACATGGGGGGATGGATTTGTAACTGTTGGTGATAAAAGAAAAACCTTCTACACTGCACATTATCCCATGAGAATGAATCTTACAAGATCTGCCTTCAAGGAATATTAATAGATGAAAGACGGTCTAGGGCACTGGCCTGGGACTCAGACATGGGTTTGATTCCCCGCTCAACCACAGACCTCACGTGTGATCTTAAACAAGTCACTTAATCTACCCTTAGTTCCCCATTTGTAGAACAGGGATAATATTTCTCTACTTCTCAATGATCTTGGAGGATAAAATCCATTAATGATTGCAAGGTGCCTAGATACCGTGGTGAGGAAGGTCATATAAGTAACTAGATAAAGGAAGGAGACACAGAAGGGATGTCAAGAAGACATACTCCATTCTGAGTGGGTTTTGGTGGCAGTGTATAATCAATAAGATAGAGTCATTGTGAAATACATCACCTATACTTATCTAGTACTATCAAATTTAAGGTATAGCAAACCCATGTGTGACATCCTGGCACCTCAGTATTTACCACAGTGTGGTATCATTCTAAAAGTCTTGATCTGCTAGACAGTAATATCTCGTTGGATTGTATGAACTATTGTCATATGTGAAGTTATGAAGTTTGGCTATGTATGTGTTACAGAAACATGTTCTGAGGTTGAAAACAGCCACAAGCAGCCTTTCAGGTACAACAGTAAAAAGGCCAAACAATGTTAATGGCTGCTTGAGGAAATTCACACAAGCACAAAGATTACCCCAGGAACTGTGTACAATAGAAACCTCTCAGATAGCACGACACAATGGGAACTGTTTGACCCAGGCTACAGCAAAAGAGCTTTCCAGCAAGTGGGAGGAAGATATAAAGGGGGACAGTGACATCATGATGGGTCCTCACTCTCCCTACAACAACACACCTGGAAATGCCTGAGGGGCAAGGACTGAACTGTGGGAAGTGATGGTCCCAGGCTAGAGGGATTTTTAGCCTGTATATGAAAACCTGGGAAAGCCAAGGCAACTTGTGCCTTAAGAATCTGCCAGCCTGTTTATCACTCACGGTGAGAATTTGCTAATTTATATCCTACCTGTCTAGTATGTTAAGCTCAGTTTTGTTTATTTATTAAGGTAATCTGCTTTGATCTGTTTGCTATCACTTATAATCACTTAAAATCGATCTTTTGTAGTTAATAAGCTTGTTTTTGTTTTGTTTAAAACAGTGGGTTTCAAACTTTTTTTCTGGTGACCTAGTTGAAAATTATTGATGCCCATGACCCAACGGAGCTGGGGATGAGGGGTTTGGGGTACGGGAGGGGCTCAGGGCTGGGGCAGAGGGTTGGGGTGGGAGGGGGGTCAGGGCTCTGGGGCGGTACTGGGAATGAGGGGTTTGGGGTGCAGGAGGGGCTCCGGGTTTGGGGGGGGCTCAGGGCTAGGTCAGGTGATTGGGGCATGGGCTTACCTCGGGTGGCTCTCGGTCAGTAGCGCAGCGGGGGTGCTAAGGCAGGCTTCCTGCCTGTCCTGGCACTGCGGACCGTGCTGCGCCCCAAAAGTGGCCAGCAGCAGGTCTGGCTCCTAGGCACAGGTGCGCAAGCAGCTCTCACACACAGGCACAGCTTTCTCCCCCCCTTCCCCCGCCAGCTCCCATTGGCTGGCAGAGCCAGTGCTCGGGGTGGGGACAGCATGCAGAGCTCCGTGGCCCCTCCACCTAGGAGCCAGTCCTGCTGCTGGCCACTTCTGGGGCACAGCGCGGTGTCAGAACAGTTAGGGACTAGCCTGCCTTAGCCGGGCAGCACCGCCGACGGGACTTTTAATGGCCCGGTCGGCAGTGCTGACCAGAGCTGCCGCAACCCAGTGTCTTACATTCCGGGTCGCAACCCGCAGTTTGAAAACCAGGGAGTGGAAATTATAACTTGGGGCAGAAACCTGTTGCATATATCTCTCTCCACATTGAGGGAGGGGGCGAATTTTATAAGCTTGCACTGTACAGTTCTCTGTGCAGCAGAAGACAGTATAATTTTGGGTTTACACCCCGGTGGGGGGCTGCTTTAGCAACTGGGAGTGCCTTAGCTGAGCCATCCCAGGCAGAGCTAATCTCAGCATCTGTGTGAAGCTGCAGCTGGGTGTGTCCCTATACTGTGTGTATGCTGGTGAAAAAGCAAGGAAACTTATCACAGCACCACAATGTGAAAGAGAGCCCAGGCTGGTGGGTCAGGTGGGCTGAGTGGTACCCCAGTTACAAGTGGCACCCCGGTGGGAACCCGTCACACCATGACTATATACTTTCAAACACAACCTTGGACTTTCAACACCACAAGCTGAAACCCCTAACACTTGAACTAAAAGGATCAGCTCCATTAATTGCAGGCTCTCAGGCGTCACTGAGGGCAGCTGCTAGACAGAATCACCACCACACACACTTACCCTGTATATTACAAAATCCTTAAAAAGCAAAATTCTTGACAATTACTGCTCTCTCTCTCTCTCTTTTTAAATGAAAAGGCAGTTTTTAGAGACAGAAGGTCCAAAAAGCTATTTTCTATATAAGATGACCAATTTCTACTCAAAGTGAATTCATAGCTTTATCAGGAATTGGAATATCACCAGACAAAATCTGGAAAGAATTATGATGTTTCTGCCATAGATCAAGTTCATGAAGGTGTGTGTGTGTGTGTGTGTGTGTGTGTGTGTGTGTGTGTGTGTGTCTCATATATATAATAAAAAAAAGAAAAGAGAGAGAGAGAGACACACACACACACACACACACGTATTTATGTATAATCAGTTTTCACAAAGCAATCCCTGAAATCTACTCA